CCTTAGCGTGAGACAATTTTTTTTACATGCTAGCTTGTGAGCGTGCCAGGAAAACTTTTTGCTATTTTACTGTCCCACAAAAGTAACTCACCTTGAGTGGTGATTTTCAGAAGATCCTCCATTGTAGAGTTGTAAGGGCCATCATAATGAAGTTCACAAAGTTTTTTGTTGCATGACCTAATTTAAGGGCTCCATGAGAAAGTGTCTTTGCTTCTCTGCACTGGTCTTCAGCAGCTACCCTGAGTATCTATGCCATGGAGGGCCTGCTGATGGTACCTTTCTATTGTAGTCCTTCCTGTACCCCCTCGTCTTCCTCTAGAGCAGGGGCACTGTATATTCTGCAACCCCAGTTTTATAACACTGGCAATATCCTTTAAAACATCTACATATAGTTTGAACTAACAAGTGACCTTCTAATGTATGCTCTGGTGTCCAGTATAATGCTAGGTGACTATTACCATTAGCTGTTATTGATTTAAAGGAGTAAATGTCTTATTGGTATTTTACATAGTGTTTAATAGTGTGGAGTCACGTTTAATTATTATGTTGATATGTTTCAGCACAGTATTTGTAGAGTATGGAGGTGGCAGTGCATTTGGAACATATGGGTGTCCCTTGGGTTTCCTCTGGCTGAAAGGCATTACTTGGCTGCTAATAAGACTTTTTGTGTCACAACGGGATACACAGAATCCATTATGTTTATGGATTGCCATAATGGGAAGCTTGAAAGCACTTAACAAAATTAGCATTCCACAATTTCCTTTAAATACAAAGAACCAATATTTTATATTCACTTGTATTTTGCTTTCACATCTTTCAAATGAAGATGTCTCCCTTATGAGCTGCGCACATTTAAAGCATTTATAGGTCAGAAAGAAATTGCTAAGGGCACACTAAGGTCATTCGACAAAACACAATACGGAGATCCTAACTGTGTTAAAGGACCATTATTGCAAAGATATCGTCGTCTGATAAATGTGTGTGGTGACATGTTGTAATGGTGGTATGTGCATTCCTTATTTCATTTTAGATGCCTTTTATTTGTATCTTAACATTGTAAATGTGGTCTAAGCTTCCAGAAAATGTGAAAATAACACGGTTTGGGACAAACTATAACACGGCCCGTAGTGCTTATAACAATTACCTGGTTTAAATCTTCTTAACAAAATGGCATCTGTGGCTGCAACTGTTTAAACACACCTGGCAGTGTTGTAGTTTGTGCCAACCCTTGTCACTGTCATTTTTACTGGACGGTTTGGCTTGCATGTAAATGTGGTGAATATTTATGGAGGTATGTGAAATAAAATCAAAAGTGGTTCTTATAATGAATGCTAGCATTACCTAATGCAGTTATCGCAATAAGCATCAGAGATTGTTGATCCAGGAATATCCGATTGCCTTCTTGGATCAGAAAAAGGATTTTTTTCCCTGTTGGAGTAAATTGATGCATGCTTTTATTGGCGTTTTTTTGCCTTCCTCTGGATCAACATTGGGAAATTGTAGGCATAGTGTTCTGTTTAGGCTTTTATTTTTATTTATATTTTTATATCTCTATAGGTTGAACTCGATGGACTTGTGTCTTTTTTCAACCTGACTAACTATGTACTATGTAAATACTATAGTGACGGCAGAATAAGAGCAAGTGGTCCGTTAAGTGTGCCCCCATTTTTTTTTTGGTCTGAGTTTAGATCAGTGTTTTCTCCCAAGCATGTGTACATTCATTTACTGTTGACCAGACCTCTACCTCTGCTGGAAGTCTGTTCCAAGCATCAAGTAGTCTTTTACTAAAATACTTTCTAATGTGAACTTTCCTCCTGTGAGTCTGAGGTCCTGTCCCTGTTTTCTTGATATTGGCTTCATATTGAGAATACTGCCCTCCTGTAATGTTGGGATGGTTCTTTAATAAATACTTTACATAATAGATATATGTGGCAGTTCCTTATTACATGTGTGGTTGAAGTATATGGCCATTAAACATAGATTCATTGTTTTTCATATGAAATCAGTTAGTATGATATATTTTGAGGTCTATTGGAGCACAAGAAAGGTGTGTGTGTTTTTTTTTTTTTTCTTTCTGCACTTTAAAGTTACTAATAGAATTAGCAGATAACATTTTGGAAGTGAGAATGCATATAGAGAAAGGTAAGGGTAGGGAAGTATTGCCTCCTTTCAATTTGTCTGGATCTCCACTGCCAATCAATATCAAACTATTGCCAATCCCCATCCTTATGAAAATGATCCAATCAATACACGAATTATGCCATATACTAAATTTAAATGTACATTTAAGTTTAGTATATGGTATAATTCATGTATTGATTGGATCATTTTCATAAGGATGGGAATCGGCAATAGTTTATTCAGCAAGCACTTCTGCCTTGCAGTGCTGGGTTCGAATCCCAGTCAGGACACCTATCTGGAAGGAGTTTGCATGTGCTCCCTGTGCTTGCGTGGGTTTGCTCTGGGTACTCCAGTTTCCTCCCACAATCCTAAGGGCTCAGTCACACTAGATGCAGTGCGTTCCGGCCCGATTTTGGCCGGAAACCCACTGCCTCGCATTGCGGCCGGCTCACTTTTTAGTGGGGTAGGAGGGGGCGTGGCGGGCCATTCAAGTTAATGGCGCCGTAGCCATGCCCTCTAGCCCCAGTGCGATCCCACACACCGTATCGCAAGGCACATTGTGCCTGTGGTCCGGCCCTGGGCGATGCGATCAAAATAGTGCATGTAGCCTTTTGATCGCATCGCACAGGTTCGGACCGCAGGCACAATGTGCCTTGCGAACCCGTGCGGTGGATCGCATTGCGGCCGGAGGGCGTGGCTACGGCGCCATTCACTTGAATGGCCCGCCACACCCCTCCTACCCTACTAAAAAGTGAGCCGTCCGCAATGCGAGGAAGTGCGTTCTGGCCAAAATCTGGCCGGAACGCACTGCATCTAGTGTGACTGAGCCCAAAGACATGCTGGAAGGTTAATTGTCTCCTGTCCAAATTGGCTCTGTATCAGGTGCGGTCAGGGGAGGCAGAGCCTCACATAGAATTATGGAGGAAAAAGCTGTCAGCTTCATGTCTGAAGCGGACAACTTTTTCTCTTTTCAGATCGGCATCTAACAGGTTACACGGCAGGGAAATCCTCCCCGCTGTGTAACTTGTCATGGAGCCTCAGCGGTGAGGGACAGGGAGGCTCCTCTCTGTCTCCTCCTTTCCTCCTTTACACTAGCTTGGGGACGGTTATGAATACCTGTAATAAATAAGTGTGGGAATACACTGTTTTGCACACAGTGAAGTCCCTGCTCATTAATCTCCCTGAAAAAAATAGTAGACTTCTGCTTAGCCTCACTCCAACCTGATATGACTAACTAACTTCATAAAGTAGAGTTACATTGGTATAGTATTTCATGGGGGTAAATATATCTTCTATTTTTCTTTAAAAGCTACTGAGTAGGTTTTATTGTTATGCTATTGGAGTTGTAGGTTATGTGGCTGTTTAAATCAGGGAAACAAGCAAAATGTGGATGGCTACCAATGAAGTATGCATGCTGTGACAGGGTATACGACTCTGTGTATGTCAGTGAGAGGTTGAAAAGGGCAGCTTTCCCTGGCTAGGAAGGAGTTGAGCCTTGCCCCAACAGGTACACCTTCGATCTCTATTAACCCCTTCATGACCTGAGCTAGTTTTCAGTTTCTGTTAATAAATGACTGACACACTTTTTACATTTTTGCTGTGTGATTCATTCACAGCAGTAATATACTTTCTTACTAAATGTACCCACTCGTATTATATATTGTTTTTTAGACAGGTAGGGCTATATAATTATATCACATATGTGTACCTAACCCCTCACTTAGTTTGAATAAAATAAAAAATGAGGAAAAAAACTAGAAGAAAACACTTTTTTTCACAAGTTTTGATTATTATTTTTTAAAGATTTTTTTTATATTAATTATAGTATACAAAATATATTTATAATTTTTATTTGTCTAATTTTGTTTTACACTTTACATTTTTTTTGTAAAAACAAATTTCTTTTTTTTCTTGTCAGTTTATATCAAGCAGTCACTGACTGCTTGATTAAATTTTAACTTTTTTTATTTTTGGCTATTATTAGGCTGCTTTAAACTTAGGAACAGCTAATAATAACCTTTAGAGACTGATTCTGACTTTAGTCAGATTCAGATCTCACTAGACGATCAGAACTGATACATTTCACTCAAAAGATACAATGTATATCTTTTGAGTGAAATGTATCTAAACATCGGGCTCTCGAGCTGTCAAAACAAATAGCAGAGAGATGAATCACTGCTACCTCTCTGCTATTTTCAGCTGTCAAATACTGGATCGCAAATTGTGGTCCTGTATGTGCATGTAACGGCTTCATTCTTTCATTAATGAAAGGAAGAAGCTTTTACAAAAAGCTTAATTATTTAATTAATGCCTCAATACTGAGGCATTCTGTAATGACTGGTAACTGCTGAGAATCATCTGTTACCAGCATTACAAAGCCTGATTATAACTCGTCATGTACAGTGTACGTGGCAAGTCATATACATGTACACTGTACGTCTCCTGTCACGAAGGGGTTAATTAGCCTGCACCTGATAGTGACTGGGGGAAGAAAGAGCTCAGAGCGAGATCCATGCTGGACTGGATGGATGCATACCGACTGGAGATATCTGTGGGATAAGATCTGGCTAAAAACTGTATGTATTGGACTGTGGGTTTTGTTCATGTTCATTTATACTGGAAGCTGGAATAGCCGCTCCAGTAGGACGTAGTGAGGGACACTACTGTTAGTTGGCCTGCTAAGGTGGAGTAGGCCTTTTTATTTATGTTACTCTTGAGTTTCTGCTGGAATTCGTTTGTTTAAAAAGGAAAATGTACCCTGTTGATAAAAAGAAACGTTTTATGTTGAATGCAATAAAGCCGCATTTATTGCCAATACTGATCACAGACCAGTGACTTTCTTACAATGCTCATTGTAGTTCTCCCCGCTTCCTTTACAGAGTATGGAATGGAAACATATGAAAAACAGTTTTTAGAACTCCAGCAAAGACTATTTCAAGCAGAACAAGAGAATCGGAAAAGGTCTCGAGATCTGAGTACTGTTTTAGATGAAATTAAGCGTGCTGTTGCAGAGAAGAGGAACGCATTTGAAAATCACACAGGTATTACTGGCATTTCAAAAAAAGATCAAACTTTTCACTGAAAGTCTTTTAACATTTTGTCCCAAAAAAAAAAAAAAATCACATCTGTGGATCTCGATATGTTTAACCTGAAGACAATAGTGACAATAGGATCACAAAATCAGTGCAGAGACTACACTGACCTTCATAAGAGAAATACAGCTTTCAACTTTTTAGTAGCGTACACCTCCACTGAAGCGGTGCTTTTAGTTCTAAAAGTATATTTGTAAGAGAGTAGATGTCAGAGATTTATATGAGCTGGATATGTTTTAAGCCCATAATGCATAAAGAGCCTGTCAAAGCACTAGAGCTCATCTACTGTATGAAAGTTAGCTGTGCGTCACTCCAATGATGTCAGTCGTGAAAAGGCAAGACTTGTTATACATGGGCCAAATCATGCTGGTAGCCTCCTCCCTGTCACTAACAGGCCTGTGGAAGTGATGGTAACACTAATGATTGGCCATTAATGTAGGAAGTGGTAACCATGCCCTTTTAGTCCTTTTCAGCAGCCCTTTATTTTACACCAGGATTTGTCAGCGAAGGCTAAATAACAAAACCGTCAAAAAGACATCTGTTCATTGTGAAAAATAGTACTTTGGTTAATGATTGCCTTGACTTTAAAAAGCCCAAATATGTATAAAAGAGTTAATGATACCAATAGAATGACTCCAGTATACTGTTGATCAATAGCAAAGCTTGATATTATAATTGGCAGCCTTTATCCATGACGCTATGCCCATTATTCTAGCTCTTACCATACCCGTAACAGAACTTTTACAACCGTGCTACTTCATGTTTCTGTGCCCCCTACCTCTGCATCCTTCTCTCTTTCAGAGTAGACCCAGTGCCCCTGCTTTACTGCTGCTTAGGAAACCTACTGATAAAGGATCCCTTTCAGGGGAAAGACCAAGGTGCAGCTGTGCCTCCTGACCTGTAATATTAGCACCCTAAAGCCCTAGCTGAAGCTTTGTTAAGCAATGTCTCCATCTAAACTGGCCACCTAAATAACTTCAATTAAATTCCAGGGAAAAAAAACAACAAATACTCGAAGAAACTTTGTTAATGGGGATCCCATGCCTCTACCAAGCAGATAAGCATGTATGAATTATACCAGGACCGGTCACAGGGCCCATTCATATTATCTCATTGCGATAATGTATGGCACTGCATGATAAATGTGTTGGCACTAATGATTTTTCCACCTGGCTCAGTCAATTTTTACACCGGGTGGTTATGTCAGGGCCGATTCAACAGGAAATAACCAAAATACAAGTCATGCATGGCCAGCTTTGATGTATTACAAATCATTTTGATGTGGTGAAGGGAGTTGATGCAGACAAAACATTAAGGGCGTAAGGTTATTGACTACTATTTTTAGTTTCTCTCTCATTGCAAGCAGTGGTAATTAGTTGTCCTAATGATTTCAGCAGCTCCTCATTTTAAATCTACACACAATCTTTGACTGTGTGCCACAACCTTCCAAATGTCTTACATTTTACCACTCATCTGCCAACCTACAGTGCAAGAATCCAGTCAGGACATTTGTAGGGCTGCAACAACTAATCGACATAATCGATTATAATCGATTATTGAACGTTTCCAAAATATTACCTGGAAAACCTACAACACGTACAACTGGTTTTACCATGCTCCCTGTGGCATCTGAAACTAGAGCGAGTATGATCTGGTATAGGCACTTCTGCATAGACATCCTAAACCTACATTGCCCCATCTATAGTAAGCTAAGCCTGAGTCCAGCCAACAGTGTCTTTCTTTGTAATTGGTTTCTATGCCCACAACAGATTTCCTCTTACATCCTCTACTATCATCCGTCATCGAGGTAGGAAGTTACATAGTATTTGAGGTTGAATAAAGACATATATCCATTTAGTGCCGCCTATTTGTGTGTGTGTGTGTGTGTGTGTGTATATATAGGTCCCTGAGTCATCTCGTTATTGGGAGTACTTGTACCCCTGTATATTACCGTTTCTCAGGAAATCGTCCAAAAGCTTCTTGAACGATTCCACACTATTAGCTGAAATCACTGCTTGTGGCAACGAGTTCCAGACCCTAACCGCGCGAACTGAGAAGAACCCCCTTCGCCCCTTGTGTTTGAATTTTTTTTCTACCAGTTTCAGGTGGTGTCCTAGTCTTTGTTACGGAATTAATCTTAAAGAGTTTGTTGCTAATGTCGCTATGACTATAGAACATTTTGTACATGAAAATCATGTCCCCCCCTTAATCTCCTTACTTCCAGCGTGAACATATTTAAATTTAGTAACCGTGTCTCATAGCTCTTGTCCTCCATCCCTTTGATGAGTTTGGTCGCCCTTCGCTGGACTTTCTCCAGTTCAAGGACATCCCCTCTGTGTACCGGTGCCCAAAACTGCACCGCATACTCCAGGTGAGGCCGAACCAGTGATGTGGGGGGGAAATGGCAAAAGTAGGCACAAAGCAATAAAAACACTTTACACCTGACATGTCTATGTTATTATTAATCATCATACATAGAGGGATGCATTGGTAGAATTTGATTTTTGAGTGTAAAGGTCTGCTTTAAGAGTGTCCTCGACCCTATTATGTGTAACAAAAGGCAGTATGTACATTCTGGATGTTGCCATAGTCCAAAGCATGCTTTACACAGCTGTCTCCAGGTCATTGCTCACATGTTTTTGAAGGAATTTATTTCCAGACTAAAATTTTGTAGACATATTTTCCAAATATTACTGCACAATTATTTCTGGTGTCAGAACACACCTGTATATATTTTTAACCATTCTTCTTTGTTCTTGTTTGCATAGTTAACATAATGCAGAAAGGTCATCTATTTTTTATGTTCAATACTGGGGCAGGCAAGTTCAATTAGTACTAAAGCCTAGAATACTATTCAAATGAATTAGACAATCAATGTCAGCGTTACAGTAAAAATCACATATTCATATTCAATTTAAATAACAAAACAATGTGTGACGTACGCCCGGCCCAGACCCGCTGTACGTCAATCCCACATGACTATACACAAGTCTGACCGAACATGGACGTCACAAGGACGTGGCAATAGCACTCTCTGCCTCACCCTGCACAGAGATTTCCCAGCTCGCGGGACACAATCTCAGGCCAGCCGACTGAGAGCGATCGTCACCAGAGTTGGTTAACTCCGCAGTTAACCCTTTACCCACAAACGTTCGCTGCCACCACATGATTTTTGTAACGGAAACACAGACCGTGCCCAGCAAATGCTGCGACAATTTAAAAGACTTAAACGATACCTATGATACCGCTGTCCTCTCATACAGGAATATGACAGGATTCACTATACAGTAGCGCTCTTCACAGAGGCAAGGATACTTTTAAGTTCGTATTTAGAGCGTAGAGATAAGCTTAATGATTTTTAAGATCGCCCTTTACTAAAAGAAACGGTGCAGAAAATATACAGAAAAATATATTAATAAAAAGATAAATTATATATACAATAGTAAAATTTTAAAGGGAATAAAGGTGAATACTTAACAGTCCTGGGTTTAGGAGTTCTGACAAAGTTCAGAGTTGTATAAGCAAAGGAGAAGTCTGCATGGCTCTTCTTCAAGCAAGCTTTCAGCAGATAATGTCCAGAGATTAAAGGGGAACTCTTCTGCGATGTTAGACTTTTGGGGTTCCTTGATGCTTTAAAACCCAAGAACCCCCTCTAGCTAGTTCAGCATCTTTTTATCAGACCTTTAGGAGCCAGCCCCTAGGGCAGGGCTGGGGATGGAAAGCAGGCGGAGGATGAACCTTTATTTTGCACTATCCCAGCCCAATTCCAAATTATGAAATGGAGCTGATTTTGCAACTTAGGTTTATGACTTTTGGGTGAATGTGAGCTCACCTCTACCAGACCTGCTTGTTTCTATTAACTTGTCCACTGGTAATAGATGAGTGCTTGGTGCCATGCCTTTAATTAGGGAAAGCTGTAAAAGGCTTAGAGGCTCACTTCTTCGTACGGATCAGGTCAGCACAGAAAACGGACGTCGTGTGAACAGGCCCTTAAATATATGATGGCAGGCCAAATAGCCACTTCCTGGTTGGCCCTAGCATTTATCTAAATGTGCAAAGTGGGTACTAACATAAATCACAGTGACTGCGGCTACAGAAAATGCCAACGATTGTGAAAAGATAAATAAAGATGTAATTAAATGGTTGATAAATGGCTACCATAAGGAAATATTACACAGAATACTTCATGTTTAATTAAGCATATATTGTCTAAAAATTAAACCAGTATAAGTGAGAATATAAATCAAACACACTTCTTTGTTTGATTTTATATTCTCACTTGTACTGGTTTAATTTTTAGACAATATATGCTTAATTACACATGAAGTATTCTGTGTAATATTTCCTTATGGTAGCCATCTATCAACTAAATTGTAATTTATCATATTTAACTTTCCTATTTTATGTGGGATTTCTAGCTAGCTGCGTCTGTTGTTTTAACCTTTCCCAAACAATTTACCTGGTGTTGCTGTGTAAACTTTTGATTTCACCTGCCCCACCTAAACCCTGCTCTCCTCCATTGATTTTCTGTCCCTCTTTCCCCTGCTCTCTTTCATAAGCGGTAACCCTGAGCCACACTCGGGACTACAGCGTAGCGTTACTTACCTTGTCCCTCGAGCCGCGCTGTGTCCTCCGTCTGATGCCGTCTTCCGGGTTCCGCCCCTTGCAAGCGTCCGTGTCGCAAGGGGGCAGCACCGGCGAGAATTTTAAAAGTAAAAATAACGAGAAAAAAAATAGAACAAAAAAATGAAATCAGACCGCCAGGGAGGTGAAGTGACCAAATTTACTGTTGCTTATTAGTTTCCTGGGTTCCAGTGCTCTACACGGTATGTGAACCGACATGCAGGCAGGTTACTACTTTTAATGTCTTACTAGGGTTTAGGAGCTTAAGAGTTGGCTCAGGTTCACTTTGTCACCAGAGCAGGGGCCGAAACTGAGTCGCATAGTAAAATGATATTGCTTTTTGTTTGGTTCTGTGGGACAGTTCTCTTCAGTTTTTCTGTCTTTGTTCCTTCACTGTCTTATGGAGAATTTGAGTGAGAAGCACATTACATTACTATTGTTGAAAGAGCGTTCATGAGCACACACGTATAGTGTCAATTTAGAAAGGAGCCAGTTAACCTTCCAGCATGTCTGTGGAGTGTGGGAGGAAACCGGAGTACCTGGGGGGAAACCCACGCAAGCACAGGGAGAACATGCAAACACCTTGCAGATAGTGACCTGCCTGAGATTCGAACCCAGAACCCCCCCCCCATGCTGCAAGGCAGAAGTTGTGCTGTAAACATTTGTTTTATGCTGTGCACATACCTCCTTTCCCTTTTCCATTATTTTTTTTTTACCTCCAGACTGTAAGGAAGTATTAGGAAATCCATCCTGCAGTTCTTGAGCTAAAATGGAGAAAAGCTGAACTACCACTTGTTTGCACAAAGCCACCTGGTTGTCAAGTAGGAATATCTTAATGTCTTTTCTATTTGAATCATTTGATTTTGATGGACAATGGTGTCTTGTTTTGTGTGGCTGATATTGGACAGTTTCTGTGAATCCAGGTTGTAAACAATCTTGTCTGTCCTTATTTGCGTTGCAGTTGAAGAAATAAAATGGAAAGTCTTGAATATAACCAGCAAACTCCCTTTGCCGTTTACAAACATCTTCATGTTTCTGCCTCATTTATTGGGACACGAAGACAGTCTGCAGCCAAATGTGCTTTATGGACACGGGAGAACAGGAGGTAAGGCAATTAATGGCAATAATGTATTTTCTTAAGGTGTGCCTCTAGGTGTTAAACTGGTGGGAAGCCTGTCATCTGGTTTCCTGTCATACATTTTTTGTAATCTCTATTAGCATTAAAGAGGTTGCATCCCAACTCTTCAGTTAGGATATTTGTGCTAACCAGTACTGTAAAAACCTAATACCTGGAGTGTGGGCATTACCATCAATTATGTGAGTAACCCTGAAGATATAATACTTGCACTTGATTGTAAATTGAAATGAGTTGATAAAGCTAGCCATGGGTTTTAGACAAAGATCAGATGTTCATATATGAGAGATTTGTCTTTCCCCAAGGGCACTTTGTGGACCGTTAAGAAAAGGGTAAATTCTTGTGACCTGCGGCTTTCCCCTGGTTGTGTTTGTCTTGGGGGAAAGATAGCCCAGAAAGAGTCCAATCGTGCAGATGTCATCTGTTTTTCCAACCGATGCACTTACCCTATAGACCCGGGGTCTCAAACTACTGGCTCCTGGGCTGGTACCATGTGGCCCACAGCCAGCTGACTGCGTACCTGACTTGGGGGAGCAGCTACACAGTTTGCATCTCTGTGCCAGCTGAAAGGAAGGAGTAGTAAGGTCTGCACCAGCCAAAGGTGTAGCCCGTACTAATCAACCACTGGACCACCAGGGAATGTGCCTCCTCCCTGCAAAAGAATGTAAGCAGGTGAGGGGGCTATTTCTTTTATTTTAAAGGAGAACTATGACTTGAGTGCTTTTCACTCTGCACACATGTACAAATGATGAAACACTGGCTCCCAGCACAGAGGAGAGAACTAGGGGATCCAAAACAATTCATTGATAATAAGAATCGTTGACAACAATTCTCATAATCGATTAATCGATTAGTTGGTTGCAGCCCTAGACGCTTGTGATTTAAATACTCCTGCCACACTGCATAGCCAGGTAGAGGACTGAAGCATTTACAAATCATGTTTTCATGAACATGCAGTACAGGCTATTATCTCTTTGATAGCAGGATCTGTGGTGGTTTCCTTTTTATTGTGTAACAGTGGGGGTGGGGGGAAATGTGGGTTTTTATATGTAACTGTATCAATGAAACAATGACACATCAGCCATTTTGCTGCTGAATCATCGTCTGCCGATCAGGCAGGTGACATAGGAAGCTGCAACTGGAATAGTGTTGTCATTTGCCTAGTCGTACAATATGATAAGGGGTGTGCGAATAACAAGAATGGTTGGACATAATTACAAGTCATATTTACATATGCTTTTCAGCTGTTTATTTAGCTGCTTGCATGGAACTCTGCTTTAAGTGACTATCAATGTTCTCTTTTTTTTTATATTGCCTTTACTGAGAACAAGTACACACACACAACACCTGGTATAATTTGACTGAATGTGTAATTCATAATCTGGTCTGACAGCCTTTTCTTAAGATGACTGGGCTCTTTCTATAGACACTTCCTACTGCATTATACAGTTTTTTCCCCCCCTTACCCCAGGGCAATGTCACATAGCGACAAAATATAATTAATTTGTAACCATAGAAATACAGCATTACGATTCTGGTTTTAGCATCTCTTATAATACACAAAGATATTAGGTTTCTGTGACATGAGAGATTTAGATATATTTGAGGACAGGGATTAAATGGCAAATGCTCTTTAAAATACAAATTACCTTTCATTCTCACCCCTGAGAATGTTTTTTTATTTGTTTTTAAATTCTGATATATTTTATATTTTGATATAACATTGTGATTAGGTAACTCAATCTGCCTTTATTCGTGTTGCGTAATGAGACCTTACTCTGCCATATTGTGGCAGAAAAGGCTAGATCCTTCAAAAGGGACCTCTTCACCACTGGGGTAGACTCCTCTTTAATTGAAGAGATGATGCTCTTTCTAAAGCACATCTGACTCTTCTAGCCTTCAAGGGATGTTGTCTCTTTAAATCTACTCTGGATACCACATTTTTAGATGCATGGTGAGGCTAGTGTTGTTCTTCATTGCAGCATCATTAGGGGAAGTCAGCTGAGCCTTACTCGTCCACCACTTCTGCGGTAGTTGCCCCTTGGCCCCTAGAGTCTCACAGACTGTACTGGCTATGGGTACACCGGCTAATTCCTTGCCCTTGTCACTTTCTCCAGTTGCGCCTCCTACTTTCATTCGTGCTATTGCACTGATTGCTGGACCCTCTTGTCAGCTAGAGGTTCTGGCGCTGGGCACACCTGTCTTTGTATCAGTGTTGGACTAGCCTTGACATGTTCGTAAGATAAAAGCCGGACGGGCCGGTGTGCGCAAGCGCACACTGCCCGTTCGGTATTGCGGTCATCGGAAGCCCGCCCCTCGGGGGCGCGGCTTGCGATCATCGCAAGTACGATCTGCCTGTCCAAGATAGGCAGATCGTAAGTTTTTTTTTTAAGTACCTTACAACCATCGCAAGACTATTGTCTTGTAAGGTGTGTGCCCAGCATTAGGTCAGTGTCTGCTCCAGCTAAGGTCAGGGCTTGGCCTTATAAGGCCTCAGATTCAGGTGACCTTAGGTTGCTGTCAGTCCCCCAGTTCTGTTTTGTTTGGCCTGTGGCAAGTTTTTGCTCTGTTACTGAAACCTCTGTTGTGCTGCTTTTGAACATCCCAACAGTAGCTGACGTCCTGTGCCCCTCAATGGACAAAGGGAAATGAGTTTTTTTAATTTGCAGTAAAATCCTTTTCTTGCAGTCCATTGAGGGGCACAGGCTCCACGCCTCTGTTTATGTTCATGCTCTTGGTGCTGTTTTGCCACAAAACCGAGCTATGTTGGGAGTAGTAGGGGTTATCCTGCGGTGCCCAAAAATGTTTGCTTGCCAGTGTCCATTCCTCCCGTAGACCTGTTTCCTTTCAAGGTTTGACGGCTTGTTATTTTTGTCATTTATATATTTTCTTATACTGCTTTGCTGGACTCTTGGGCAGATATCTAGTCTATGATCTTTATTACATTGGACATTTTGTTTTTGGCATAACAAGCAGCTCTTCAGACTTGGGCATTGAGGGGCTGTGTTCCTACCCAAGTTGATTTCTCAGGGGGGGATTATCCTGGATGAATGGGAAATATTAAATTAGACTTTTCAGATTCTACCACAATTAATATTGTACCTTTCATCTTGATTTAGAGGAAACACACTAAAGAGGTTTTTTACACTGCAAACTTTTTTTTTCCTCATATTTTCTCATGGAAGTTTCCAGAAAACCAAATAATGTGCATGCATTTTTTGATATTCATTGTCCATCCCACACCACTGAAACTAAAATATATTTGTGTATTTTAATGCGCTCGTCCTTAGTAATTTGCCTTTGCACAGATCTCCCTTTTATAACCTTTACCATGTTCTAGACATTTAAATGTGTGCTAAGACGCCTCTCATTGTTCACCCCTCACGCTGCTTTGAACTGCAACAAATGGGCAAGCAGTATGTTGACTTCATACGTAAACTACAAGATACATACATGGAGACAACAGGTTCCATGTTTTTTTCTAGCTCACACTTTGTATGATAAGATCAATCTTTACCTTGTTGCATTCCATTTCTGGGCAGTTCTTTTACATATAGCAGCCAATGTTTAAACTCAATAGTCACCTGTAACTTTTTCAGACTAAATGGTTAGAATTACAAATATTGAATCAGTTCTTGGCTGATGGTATTCCTTTGAAGTTCTTTACACCTTGTTTGTGTAGAGAAAAATGAAAAGAATAAAAAGGAAGTGGTATTAAGGGTGTAGCTAGTTTGTCTGAGACTCTTATATTTACAGATGCTAACCATTTGGTGTAAATATTTTCTGTTCAATTATATAGAGAACACATTTATTATTGGTTTGATCTGTCACACTTATTTGGTCTTTTCTTTATCTGTGAATAATTTCTTAAACCTGCTGAGTAAAGGAATGCCATCCAACTCGTCCTGTCCCCTGAAGCCCCCCCAGATGTTTTTTATGTAGCTGTTTTATTACATTATTTGAGCTAGTCTGGTAGCATCACAGGAGGGTTCTCTTCTTACGTAGGGGGGGGCATTCTTCCAGGACTGAGCGGTGCTCAAGTAGTGATGTATGAGCTCAGTCCTGGAGTACTGTAAGACCAGGCTGAGTGATGTACTCCCTAGTGGGAATGTAAATGACAAGCTGGGTTCACAGGAATGGGTAGATAGTGTGGTTGTGAATATCGGTACTTTTTTTTGTTACACAGGAAGGGGTAGGGGACTTAAATAAAAGCATAACTTGGAGTTCCATTTTAAATCCCCTATAAAGTTATATCTTGCTTCCTGTGTCTGCTCTGGAGAGGCAGCAGAAGAGGAAATATCTCCAACGTTAATGTAATTCATATCTTGCAAGTTGTCACAGGAACAGGTGTCCCTATGTAATTCCATTTTTGCATATAACCTCAATTTCTTTCTTGGAGCCTTTATATACACTTTAAACAGCACTCAGGCTTGATTTCATGAGACTAGTTTTCTTCAGCATGTAGCAGAAAGCAGTAAAAAAAAGGTGGTTATCTTTGTTTTCTGTGTGTGTTGTACTTTTGTAAGAACATGTATATAAAGCCAAGCCAAAACTTTTAAATGTAATTTTGGATAGATCAGGGAAGGGTTAAAGACTCTAAGGCTTTTATTGACATCTACAGTGAGGAAAATAATTATTTGATCCACTGCAGATTTTGTAAGTTTGCCCTCTTACAAAGGAATGAAAGGTCTATCATTTAAAATACACCTATGATAAAAATGATAGAGACAGAATATCAACCAAAAATCCAGAAAAAACACATGATATAAGCATAAATATTGGTCCTAGAATTATTGCTCTCACTCACTGGCATGTGCGGTGATGCCCAACATGTGTTGGGTATCCTCTTTTATAACGATTATCACTTTTGTACGTAGGCACACCAGGCTCATGAAAAACTTCTTCTTTTAAAAAAAAAAAATGTATTTATTTATTTACATTTATTTTATTTAATAATTTTTAAAACTTTT